CTCCTATCCCTTAAGGCAATAGTATATGACAGCATGATAAATTACATATCATTGGCTGATTTAAGAGATATTATTAAGGGATGGAGCTCTCATTTGGCTAAATTCTTGGATGCGATAAATTATTGGACTAGTTCTGGAAACAAGAAGCCAAAGAAGCTCAATATTACAGTTAGCAGAGACGAGACCGCACCACAACAAACGAAGGAAGCCAGAGGGGATTGTGGTCCTCTCGTATGAATGTGCTTGGAGCGTTTGACGACAGGAAGTACACATTTTCTACCTCCCACCGATAGAGATAGAGGTGCAGTAGGCTTGTGGTTTTGGCATTTTATGGCTAGAGCGATATATGAGAGACGCTGCCTACCTGCATCCGCGTTATGAAAGTGTCCATAAATAATTGGTAAGTTTATAGGCTTTTGGTTTGAAAATGTTTGGTTAAGTACCTAGAATTCAATAATTTGATGTTTGTAGGTTTTAGATGTGTAGAAAGTGTTGTTTGAGCAAATGTTTGGTTTCTGCAGGTTAATCTCAGAAGTGAGCTGCGTGAAAATGATGTATGGCTGCAAAAGTTGATTCAATAGTAGATGAGGAAATAAGAATTATTGCTTATTTTTTGATTGTTTAATTGATTTGTAAAAGATGATTTGTAAAAGTTGATTTGTTTAATTGATGTGAACATAATTCTTATTTGTGCTTGTTTAATTGATTGAAATGTAATGGTTGATTTTGTTGATTTCAATCTGCATTATGTTGAAGGAAAAAATGACTATCACAATGCAAAATGAAAATCGCAACGAGAGAATTGCAATGCGAAATTAAAATCGCAACGATAAAATCGCAACGCGAAACTAAAATCCCAACGCGAAACTAAATTCGCGTTGCGATTTTCATTTCGCATTGCGATTCCCTCGTTGCGATTTTCATTTTGCATTGTGATTCTCTCGTTGCGATTTTCATTTCGCATTGCGATAGTCATTTTCGCGTTGCGATTTTCAAGTTGCGATTTTCATTTCGCATTGCGATTCTCTCGTTGTGATAGTAATTTCCGCGTTGCGATAGACAATAAGATGATTGCGAATGTCATTTCCGTGTTGCGATAGTCAAATGAATGCCTAATAAGTGATAACAACTGAACAGATCATAGCAATTTTCAAACTCAAGTTACTAATACATGCCTAACTGAAAATGTTAAAAGTTCACACATAAAATCCACATAATACAACGTTTGCATTTAAAAATCACCTAAGTTAACAGTCCCAAAAGGTGAAGCCGGTTGTGATTGGGATTTTAAAAATGATTGCGATTTTGATTGCCTTTTGTTTGACACCATATGAGCTTTGGATTTTGATGAGGATCCATATTTTGGTAGAGGAAAAGATGATTGTGATGGCACTGGTGATCCACATGTCAACCTTGTATGACCACTTTCCTTGTACCGACTACATGTCGATCTCTTATTCTCTTCACCCTTAGACGGTATACGATCGTGAATTTTTGGTCGGCCAGGTAGCCTTCTGTCCATGGCTGGTGGCAAAACTGTTTGTAAGTCATCTGGTATGTCCCACTCAGAAGGATGTGGAATAGGGTAGACAATCTAGCCATAAGTCTGTCGATATACTTCTATAGTGTAGCAATCCATAGCGTATGCGCTTGAATCATCTTGGTTTAGATGAAGAGAAACTTTTATAACATGGCCACACGGATAACCAGATGTTTGCAATTTCATATAACTACACGTCTTTGCATTTAGATCGACAAACCCATTTAAGTTATTATCCAGTACTTCAAACAAAGTGTTTGAACATGGTTCAACTCTCCATGACGTTGACTTCACAACACGTTTCGTTATCTTTTTTTCTGTCCATGGTGTAACACGATGTTCCAATGTTCCTGTAAATTTAAATAAATAATACTTAGTAAAATATATGATAAGTTACGAATTTAAAGAAATAATACCTGCATGGTTTCTTTTCTTGTAGTACCACTGTTGAATAGAAGCTTGAAAAAACTCCATTAACATAGTAATGGGTAATTTATGGGAATGACGACTTAGAGCGTTGATTGATTCTGCACTATTAGACGTCATGAAACCATATATTGCTACAAGTTGATGTACTCTTGACCATATTTCAAACCCGACATCTTCTAGTGTTTGAGCACACTGAGGAAAAACACGTCTTAAACAGTTTATATACTTTATTAAAATCCACTTCTCGATAAGCTTTTACAGCCTTCCAGTATGTCCATTTGTGATTTTTTATACCAGCAGACCTTGATTTTAGATTTCTATACAAATAAACACCACAAAGTCCATGAAAAGCATCTGAGAAACACCTTCTAACAGCATTGTCAATTGAGTTTGCCCTATCGGATATGATTGTCAGATTGCTAATAGGACCTATGCAATCCCTAAGATGCCCCATAAACCATGTCCATGAATCAGAGGTTTCAGATTTGCCAACCCCGTAAGCTATTGGTAGTATCCCATTGTTAGTATCCATGGCTACTGCTAATAAGTTTACTCCAAGGTATCGACCTTTGAAATGTGCTCCGTCAACTATAATAACTGGGCGCATGCAATTAATAAACGAACGAATCTACAAAATCATATACACAAGAAATATAATCATTTAAATGTGAAATGCATGTAACTAACAAAAATTAGTCAACAAAATTATATTGATTTACTAACTGTAGCACCAATGGCGATAAACAACAACTCAAAGCATCTATCTCTATCTGTTTTGATATGAGTTACCGACCCAGGATTTTTCAGCTTTAAATTGTGACAATAAGCCGGCAGTTGGGCAAACGATGCTTCTGGCGACCCCCTCAACAATTCCAAGGCATAACATTTGGGTCTCCAAGCTTGAGAATATGAGATACTAATCTTAAACTGAGCATTCATGTCAGTCATAATTTCATGTCCCCGATATACCCTACCATTCAAAAACATTAACCTCAGCCAGAAAACCACCCAACACCTTTTTGTTTGCCTGTCTATGGTGAGGAAAAACTTGGGTTCTTGAACATGTATGTTTATCAATAAAAGTCCTAACTTGAAACATTTCGCAATCTTTTATCCTCTTTGCAATCATACGCCACATACAGTTTTTGTCAATCATACAACTTATTTCGAAACGATCTTTGTTGATTTGTTAACTTTTAGTTGATAGCCATCTTCCACACATTTCGTATACAAAGCTATCTTCAAGTCTTCCTTTGTATCAAAACAATCATCTTTCTTGATACGAATATTTTTTGTGTAACAATCAACTGCTATCTTTACCAACTCTTCTTCCGGTATCTGAAGTATTCTGGCATATTCCAGTTATACTCCCGTGCATTTTCTTCGGGGACTTTTCTTTGGGGATTTTCTTCTTCTTTTTCTTCTTCAGTGTTATATGAATTACAGAATGGATGTTCAACATGTTTTACAGTCGTAACTTCCTCCTCATTATCATCAACAACATCTTCCTCGGCAACGGTTGTTTCATTATCAAAATTCGGGTATTGACCAATATCAAAATCATTACACGCAAGGTCTGTTTCTTCTTCTGAAAAATCATCAAAATCTGAGTATTGACCACGATCAAAGTCCGGGTATTGACCAAGATCAAATTTCGAATATTGACTAGTACTCACAATTTTTTCTGTTGGCTCATCATCGTCTAACTGGTCAATACGAAAACCGGAATTTGGTGCTGAAAGTTTATTGGGATTTGGATTAGGGAAAGGTTATGGGTTTTGAGATTGTGTTTGGTATTGGAAATGTGGTGAAACAATATTTGCTTGGTGATGAAATTGTGGTGGAACCATTAAATTTTGAGCACCATAAACTGGGGTTGAAAAACTTAGTTGATACTACCCGCTACTGACCCAACTTCATCACTTGAAACACTAATGTAAGCAATGAATCGTTCAACATCTTCATTGTCGTTAACAAATAACTTTACCATTTCTCTGATAAGATAGCCTAAATCCACTTAGGGGCTCTAAATTCAATTTATTGCAACACGTAATATTAGAGTTTCATAAGTTAACTTTTTTAATGACATTTTAGTTGAAGATTCATAGGTAAAGGCATATATTGTAAAACACCATGAACATTCTCCCATGACCCTCCAAAACACAAATCTATCCAAACATGATCAACATTAGATGATTTCATTATTGTAAATTAATTTACTAAACAAATGAGTTGCGAAACTAAAACCTGTTACCGGATGGGGAAGGATGTCGTTGGATATAGGAACGGATGTCGCCGGAGAAAGTGATAGATGGAGATGGAATGAGTTGCGATTTAGGGATTTAGGTTATGAGTTGCTGCTGCTGCATAGTTAAATACCCTAAACATTTGTGTTGCGAAAGTAAAACCTGTTGTGAATTCAGAAATCGAGTTGCGAATTTGAAATTCAGTATTGCGATAGTCAGAATCTCGTTGCGATTTACAGATTCGCATTGCGATTTACGTATTCGAATTGCGATTTACGTATTCGCATTGCGATTTACAGATACGCATTGCGATTTACGTATTCTCGTTGCAATTTACAGATACGCGTTGCGATTTACGTATTCTCGTTGCGATTTACGGATACGCATTGCGATTTTACGTATTGTCGTTGCGATTTACGGATACGCGTTGCGATTTTACGGATACTCGTTGTGATAGTCAGAATTGCGTTGTGATTTATATGTTCACGTTGCGATTTTCATATTCGCGTTGCTATTCTGGAAAATCGTAATGTGAATTTGTACTATCACATTGCGATTCTGGGAACTGATTTGCGATTCTGGAGATTGCGTTGCGATTTTTATTTCGCATTGCGATTTTGTTGGTCATTTTGGCAAATCCAAAAAAAGTTGGTTAAAATCGTATATTATAAGACATTTTTGGTCACTGAGGTTATTTTCTCAGCTTTAAAAAGGAACCCATCATGATCAAGAAAGAAGAAAAACATAAGCAAACAAATTAAAAATTCACTCGTCATGAAGCATACTATTCAGCATTCATGACTGTGGGGTTGACCGAACACGAGCCTGCCTACTCGTGGAAGGATAGGACCGCTTACTGACAAAAAAAAGTAAATAAAAATTAAATTAAATTTAGAGCTTTGCCTTGTTTTGATTTTGTTATTATTGTGGTTGAGTGAAAAAGAGAGACAAAAAGCGAAGAGGATCTTTTGTTTGGAACTAAAATTAAGTTTGTTAGACATGTCCGAAAACCTGGCATTTTATAGTGGCATCCTATGAATTCCCAAGTCAAACCCAGATAAATCACCATATCTTTATTATAAAAATTATATCTATTTGATAATTACTATATAGCTTAACTAATCGTATTAACTGATTTTTTTCTTAAAATTGTAACTGCAAATATAGTTTTTATGAAATTTTTAAGGGTGAGATAATGTACTTTACTTTTTCTTTTGCATTTTTTCCAGGTTAATTGGCGTTGGATTATGTGTAAAATTTATCAAAGAATATAAAGCATTGAAAACTCACACTCCTGAGAATGGGGAATCCAGAAAAAAAAATTAAGGGAGGGCACGTACATATATTAACAATATAAAAAATTTTATATATAAAAACACTAATTATATTTTAATTATAATACAAATCCTTACAACAAAAAATACAACTAAAAATAAATTTTACAGTTGTTCCCTTCTAGGCTTCATGCTCTGATATCACTGTATTATCTTTTCGTTATCTACATTATCAAATACATATTTCTCAATAAAAGTAACTAAACAATCATTAAGCCATCTGCCATACAATTGCACAGTCGATTCTTTATAAAGAAAGTCCTTTTAGATCACAAAATCTTTCATCTGAACAAACATCGACAGTATAATTCTCAAGTTGTCGATCAGACAATATAAGATCTCTAGTAGAAAATTCACATGGATAAAATTGGGCAAGACGAATCAACTTTTTCTTATCAAAAGAAAGATATGAGTTTCTTGGATTCAAGCAAGGCACACAAAGAAGCAACTCTGTACTTGTCTTAGAAAAACGATTATTAAGCTCTTGAAGTTGTCTATCAATTACCTGATAAAATAATTCAACCTAAAAATGATGCAAGTTTGAAACTTCACAAGCTCTTCTCCTTGATCTTCTTAGAACAACAAATACATTTTCCATTTTTTGAACCTCAATGTTATTCTTTTCATAAAAAAAAAAGAAACTTCTTCAAGTAAAGTGACATCTCACATCTCTCATCATTTGTAACCGTTGCTTGGATACACTAACTAATTGCATAGCATTCACAATGTCTTGATCACTCCGTTGCAAGGCTTGAGATAATGCACTTGTAACTCCCAAGATATTTTTCATCAAGTGCAAATTAACACAAACTCAAAAGATTGTAAAGAACTCAATAACATACAAGCTTTGACTCTTTGCTCTGAGTGTGTTCCATCTTCCTCAACCATTTCTGGGGCACCCATCACAGAAGAGAACATAGTAATCAAGCTAACAACAGTCTTATAATGTGAACCCCAAAGAGTATCTCCAGCTCTCTTTGTAGATGTTTCTTAATTTAGTCCACGGCCACTGAATATTTCACCATTTTGTAAAGCTTCTCTTACCTTAATCACTTGACTAGATTGAAGAATTTCTTTTCTCTTACAAGAAGCACTAACCACGTTGACCACACTAGCAACCATATTAAAAAGAAAGGCAACTTCAACTTGTTTTTCAGCAACAACAAGAAATGCTAATTGAAGTTGATGTGCAAAGCAATGAACATAAAAAAACATATTCATTATTTCTTAGAATCAAACTTTTAAGCCCATTAAATTCCCCTTGCATATTACTTGTCCCGTCATAACCTCGTCCTCCTATTCTTGGAAAAACATAATCCATGAGTTGCAAACACACTTCTGAGAGCATCTATAAGTGAAGTAGAAACAATATTAGAAACATGAACAAGACTAAAAAAACATTCAAAAACTCTTCCTTTATTATCTACGTAGTGTAGAATGATAGTCATTTGTTCTTTAACAAATATGTCACGAGATTAATCAACCAAAATAGTAAAAAATTCATTTACAAGCTCATCAATAATTGCACAAGTAGTCTCACTAGCAGCAACACTAACAATATATTTTTGTATATTCGATGCTACTAGATTAAGATTGTCACGAGTATTTTGAAGAACTTTATTAACAATTTCATTATGATATTCAAGAAACTGCAAGAGTTCTATAAAGTTACCTTGATTACGAGAATCATCAAACTCATCATGTCTACGAAGAGCCAATCCTTTACGTAAAAGGAATTGAACACAATCAATTGTTGCTGTAAGATGAGTTTTATATTCTTGTTTGGCTTGATTAGATTGTTTCATAATGAAAACTTCAACATGTTGTTTCTGATTCATTAGAGCTTCACATTTTTTAAAGCTACATTGTGAGCACTATTAGGACCTCCAACATGAAGTTACAACCTGCTCTTATCTTTTCTGAAACACCCATTTCTCGTATACGTCTCAGTACACGAGTCACATATGTCACATGACTTTTAAAACATTTTCATACTTGAAAACCAGTAAAATTTTGTTTCTTTAAATAAATGATTTAATAAATTAGTTTATAAAACATTATTCAATTATATATTTATAAAATAACATTTAAAAATCCATCAAACAATAGTTTAAGTTCAAACGTAATATAATACTACAACCAAATATCAGGTATCTTATCAGAGCATCACAACATATCTCGAGCTAATAATAGCAAAATAAACATCTAGAGATTTCATACTGTTACTGATAAGGCAACCCTTGACAGATGATATCAGCTACACTCCTCACTCCGATTTGTAAACTAAACCTACACGTGAAAATCACCACACGTTAATCATTCACTTAGTGAGGCATAATCTAATAAATGAGGCATATTAAAACAAAAATATTTCATAAAAGATCAAAATACGAGTTTAATCATAATAAATATATTAACACATAAAACATACTTGATACGCAAAATTTCCATCAAATAACATGCGAAACAATATTTCATATGCCTAGCATACTTATCAATCAATATCTTCCAAAATAATGCAAGGTACACAATAACATGATACTAACCATTTTCGAAACAATAATCTCGTACGACTACTATCCTTGCACACAAAGTGCAATAGTACACAAAGTACTACTCCAAGTACACAAAGTACTCTTACAAAAATGCAATAATGCATTTTCTAAAATCAATAGATATCCATCTCACACCAAGTATGCCAATTACATACAAAGTGCTACAATACACAAAGTACTATTACAATACCACCTTATTTATTGTATTATTATTACACCTATAACTCTCCATGTACATACAATAGGCTTTAAAATCCAAATTGCAGGTTAAAAATTTATTCCAAACCATCAATAAATAATAATTTATATGAAACACATTCATTCTTTTTAGGGTAGTTCATACCCTAAAATCATTCGTAAAAATCATTTTCAATAACTTTATAAAAATATTTCAAAATACAGTAAAACATGCTTTTATAAGAATATTCGAGGTTGACTCATCGTAAGTCGTCTTCATATCATATAAGTACATAATAAATGCACTCACTGGTATGCCTCACTAGTATGCCTTACTATCGAAATTTGATTATTCTTGAACTTTTTTCCTTGCCATTTGCTTTGCTTGTATCACGAGTTCGATCACGATCTACACGAGCATCCATACAAAGCATATGCAAATATAGAATACATGTTAGTATTCTTACTAATATTTCATACTTAATAATAATACTCCAAAAGTACTATTATTTTCGAATTCTTTTAAAATCATCTTAATTTTTTTATTCATGATGGGCCTTCTCAAAATTCAAGCCCAACTAAGCCCAATAATTTCCAGCCCAATACCTCAACAATGTCATATTTTCCATTTAATCCACTAACTTTCTTAACGTTTACCATTTAGCACTCAAACTTTGTCAACTTTCCAAAATGGCTAAATTTCACATACTAACTTCAATTTTAGCCCTCAAATGATAATTTTCAGCATATTACAACCATTATTGAACAATTATACAACAAACCAAAACTTTTTCACAATTATCGATTTGGTCCCCCTACTTTTAAAAATTACAGATTAGCCCAAATTTTTTTCTAAGGCTTGTTGAACCTTCTAAATATAATTTCTAAGCCATGGTAATTTTCTATAATTCTTCCCATCATCTTCCTCAAGGCCTAATGGTTTATGTACCCAAGACTAGGGTTTTCATGATTTTCACTTGATTCAAGTATGAAACCAACCTCTATTCAACACTTCAAGACCTCTAGAATCAAACCCCTAACTTAATTTCATAAAAAATATAACTTTCCCCTAAAGCTAGGGTTTAACCGAAATCAATATAGACTTATATAGCCATGTACAAATGATTTTAATCAACAATTATGCTTGTATATGATTCTACAACCTCAAAAATATCAAACTCCTTCATCAATTTCATAAACCCTAATGTGAAAACAAATCTAAAATTTGGGATCTTTGAACTCAATCAAGATTAGCATGCAATATTTGTACCTAATGATAGCGTTTTTCGCGTAGAATAATTTTCTATTTCACAGCATAATCCAAAATCCAAAGAAAATTGCTTAAAATGAAAAATAAAATTTATCTTACCTTGGTCATGGAGAGAATGAAATGGACCTGAAAATGGCTCAAGTTTTAAGCTTAAATGAATAAAATATTCATTTAGCGATAAATGTCCATTTTACCATTAATGAAACTTGATATTTACCTTAATACGAAGCCACATAAACCTTATCATCTTCCAAAGTCAAAGATGGACAAAATATTTTTCCCTTAACAACTTTACCCATGCCATTTTCTAAAAATTTCAATATTGCCATTTTTCATCCAACGGTCCAAATTGAACATGGAAATAAATTTTCAAATCCAATGCTTTATATTATTTTCCATCATTTTAATAAGTGGAAATAATATTTGTAAGCCTAATTTATCATCCTTCAAAATTTCCTAGATATCTGATTCGATCTGATTATCTGGATTTTTCTCAAACTTTATCGCTTTATAGCTTTTAGTACAAAATCCGTACGAAAATTCTGATTCCCAAATAAACATCATTCTTGGGGGTAAACTATTTATTTACGGGGCTGGATTACATAACTTTTTAAAATTACACTTTAGTCTTTAAACTTTTCCAAAGTTTATACTTTGGTCACTTAACTTTCAAAATTTACATTTTGGCCACTAACCAAAATTTGGGATATTACAACTCTCCCCCTTAAGAAAAATTCTTCCTCGAATTTTAGTGCGTATTTGATGTGAAGAGAGCATATATTGTCTTTTCATGACTTATTTTCTTTCCAAGGTAGCTTATTCGACTTTATGATTCCTCCGAAGAACTTTGACTAAAGGGTCATTTTGTTTCATAATTCTGACTCCTCTAGCTAGAATCTCAACCGGTTCCTCTTCATCGATCAAATCTAGTCGAATTTGTATATCCTCCGGTGTGATAATATGCGAAAAATTTGGTCAATACTTCCTGAGCATCGGCACATGAAAACATTATGGATCTTGTCCATTTCGGGAGGCAATTCTAACCGATAATCCATTGGTCTAACTCTTTTCAAAGTCTCATAAGTTCCAATAAAATCTTGGACTCAACTTTTCTTTGTGTCCAAACCGCTATACTTTCTTCCAAGGCGATACCATGAGAAATACCTTACCACCTACTTGGTATTCAATCTCTTTTTTCTTTATGTATGCATAAGACTTTTGTCGATCAGAAGCTATCTTAATATTATCTTGAATGATCCCCGCTTTATCTTTCATTTTTTTTATCAATTTAGGGCCAACTAGAACTCGATCTTTTAGCTCAAACCAATTTAATGGTGTTCGACACTTCCTGTCATAAAGGACTTCATAAGGAGCAATCTTGATACTTGACAGATAACTATTATTATAAATAAATTCTACTATAGGCAAATATTTTTCCCATGATCCCTTGAACTCAATCAACCATGCCCTTAGCATATCTTCCATTATCTGAATGGTCCACTCTGACTGACCATCTATCTATGAATGAAAAGTTGTACTGAAATTCAATCGAGTACCCATGGCCTCATGCAAGGAATTCTAGAATCTCAAAGTAATCCTTGGATCTCTGTGAGATACTATCGATACAAGCACTCAATGCAACTGAACTATATCTTTTATGTACAACTCAGCATATTTATCCATCGAATAATCTGTCCGTACTGGAATGAAGTGAGTTGTCTTGGTTAATCTATCAATAATTACCCAAATAGAGTCTTTCTTGTTGGGTATCAACGATAACACTGAAATAAAATCCATAGTGACCTGTTCCCACTTCCATTCAAGAATAAATACCGGTTGTACAAATTCGAAAGGAACTTGATGTTCAACTTTCATCTATTGTAATATCAAACACTATGCCACAATTTTAATGATAGCTCTTTTCATGCCAGGCCATCTATATCCACTCTTTATGTCTTGATATATCTAATTTCCGCCTGGATGCATAGTCAATGGACTGTAATGTGCCTTGGAGAGAATATCTTTCTTTAGTGCTTCATTAACTGGAATAAAAAGTCTTCCACGATAATATAAACATCCGTCGGACGTAACCTCAAAGTCCTTAATCTCATTATTTTCTACTTAAGTAATTCTTACCAAGCACTTTTCATCTTTTCCTTTCATCTCTTTTATTCGATCCAAAAGCATCAACTTTATCTCAACAATCAAGGCATCATCTTCCTTTAAGGATAACATGCATCCAAAGCTCGCAAAACTATAAACGTTTGTTGGCTAAGTGCATCAGTCACTACATTAGCCTTTCCTGGATGATAGTCGAAGATCACACCATAATTCTTTAAAAGCTCTATCCATATTCTTTCTCTCAGGTTTAACTCTTTTTGAGTCAACAAGTACTTTAGGCTTTTGTGATCTGTATAAATATAGCACCACTCACCATATAGATAATCAATCCTCAGATTAGGATAAGTATTCTTATTATCACTTTATTCAACTATCGATAATCTATGAATAATCGTATAAATTCATCTTTCTTTTCACTAACAGAACATGTACCCCCAAGGTGAAACACTCGGTCTGATGAAACCTTGATCAAGCAACTCTTGTAACGAATCCTTTTGTTCTCTTAATTCAATCGGAGCCATTAGATACAAAACCATAAAAATAGGCTCAATACCCTACTAACCATCAACCTTGAATTCTACCTCTCGATCTGGAGGTAATCCACGTAATTCATATGAAAAGAAATATGGAAATTCTAGAGTTGTGGGAATATCATACAATCTTACTTTAGATACATGAGTATCTATAACATTATCTAGAAAAACTATACATCCTT